GAAACGTCAGCCTTCCTGCTCCTCTGATGCTGTTTGGCCTGCTGCGTTCATCCAACTCTACACCTTGTTATCTCGAAGGGTCATATTGGACTTGATACACTAACTTTGTTTTTCTTTGCATGTATCCCGCCGGACCTGCCGAGTCTGTCTAACGCTTTGTTTCTATTTCAGATCTTCAGTATTTGCTGGACTTTGCTTTTATTAAAGGGGGAGATAATAGTTGATTTAAAAATGTCAAAATGGGTTTGAGTGGCAGAATAATGAACAGCTGTGCCTGCAGGTAAAATCACGTTTAAGATAAGCACATGCAAAAGGAACTGAATAAAATGGAAGAGGATGTATTAACAGGAATTGTTATACCTAATGTTGAATAAAGTAACATGTTTAGTCAAAAGGCGAGGTGCTATTCCTCAAGCTTGTACAGAGGTGGCGTGGCAATGTGTCAGTGGTATGTGGTGGTCTTGGTCTGGCATACCTGAGCATAGATTCCTGGTCTTAGGTGATTCCACGGGAACGTCCCACCCTCCAGAACGTCAAGGTGAAGCCCAATGCAGACTGGACGCTCGGTGCTAGAATAATCTGGCCTGGAAGGCTGTTGTTGTGCACTTTCATTTGTGCAATGCTGGACTTCTAATTTCTCTATTTTTCTAAGATCTTGTAACTGAAGAAGCTGTACCGAGGTACCTTTTGTACCTAAGATGGTGCAGTAAGTAGTGACTTATGAACTTTTCACTACTCATTTGAGTATGTGACAATGAAGCTTATTTTATTCTATTCTATGTGGTGTGTTGCCGTGGCCCTACCTCTGTGTCTCATAACATCTTTGAATAGGTTGATTAGAAAATATCTGCATAGACCAACACTGAAACTCTGCAGCAAGGTGACAATGACGGCACCCGGAAAATGGAGGAGCAGCACCTTTATATTCTGCATTAGGAGCCGACAACCCAATGGCCTCAATGTGGACTTAACCAGTTTCAAAATCTCCCCAACCCTGGCCTCGTTCCATGTTCAACCCTCCCTCTCATTCCTGCCTCCTTGACCTGACACAACCTGTCCGTCTTGTCTCCCACCTCACTGACTAATTCCCACCACTGCCTACCTGCACTTGCCTACCACCATCCCACCTACCTTCCCCAGCCCCACCCCTCCTCTCTATTTATTTCGGAGTTCCCTTCCCCCTCCCCCATTTCTGAAGAAGGGTCCCGACCCGAAACGTCAATTTTTCTGCTCCTCTGAAGCTTCTTGGCCTGTTGTACTCCTCCAGCTCTACTCTGTGTTATCCAAGGCTCCAGCATTGGCAGTTCTTACTAACTCTGAGCAGGGTGATAGAGCTGTGTTTATGGCTGCAAGCAAAGAATTGCAATAGCAATTAACCAGAAGTTTAGGGTCATGAGTGGAGATACGAGTGGTCATCCAAATGCATTTGGTCTTCCCAATATAAAGAAGGCTATATTGAGAGCAGCACATAGAGGATACAGGTTAAAACAGCGTACACAAGCAGTTGCTTCTGCTGAAAGGAATAGAAATCTTAGACGGGTGATGAAAAGGCAGGTTTTGCATCTGCATCAGAAGGGAACAAGGTAATGTGGGTAACTGAGGAGTGTCACAGTGGGAATGGTCCCTTCAAAATTCAGGAAAACAAAGGAGTTGAAAGTTATGTCTAATGATGGTGTTACACTGGTACAAATGGGAATGGCAGAAGATGATCCATTGGCTGTCAAGTTCTGATGAGATGGAAGGTGAAGACCAAAGGAACTCGGAAGCAGGAAACATATAATGTCTTTTGAAAGGGACCATCAATTTATTGGCATGTTACCAGGGACTTCAGTTGTGAGCAAATGTTTGGAAATGTTCTGGCCGATGCCCTTAGAAAAAGGAAAAAAAAGTCAAAAAAAAAATAGCTAATAGAGCTTTTTAAATGTCCACTCTGGCTAGTGGGTCAATATTTAGAAGTCACAGATTCAAAAGATCTGCAGGAGAGAATAATTCTACACAGTTGTCAGGATTGAGGGTGCTCTGCGAGAAAAGGTAGTGGTAGCTGATCCTTTAAGTAATTTAAAACAGGCAGTCTGGGAGCTTATGTTGTCAGACTCAAGGTGTTTTTTTGTTTGGGGGGAGCTTGTGTTGCTGGAGTCTGGGTCTGTGGTGGTGGGGGGG